GGGGGGTGGGGGGTGAGGAGTGATGTCTTGGAGGAATTTTATCCCCTACTTGTCAGTCTGAAGGCTGAAATTAATGGTGTGGACACTCAAACACAGGGTGTATACATGGGCGTATACACTGATTTTGGACAGGACAAAAAAATGAACAATCACACGAAAGGGCGTATGCCAACAGATGGCACATTTTCGCAGTGAAATTATAAAAAACAGTGCAAAACTAATCTTGCTCATTGTTTGATATCTTATCCTGCCCACAATATCCAAATATCCCGATGGTAGGATGCAATTTACTAAAATGACAAGGGAAAAGGATGAAGCAACCAAAGTCTGAAAATCTTTAAATCGCTCTCCTGAAAAAGTAAGAAAACAGGGATACGCCCTTTGGTGTGATAGGCGACGAATTGTGTCCATTGAATCGTGAGCAGACCAAGCCACTAAATTTTGTAACGTCATGACATCATGTCTAAGAAATCTCAACACCAAATTGCAAGTGCATTGGTGAACGGGTCATAGAGCTGTGATGTGTCAGTTGTGGTGTTCTTGTGCATTTTGTCCAAGGCAAATTCGAGGAAAATAGCTAGGCAAAACATTGGTGCAACCTTTTCATTCTACGATGTCGAAGTTGTGATCAAATTTTCAACTCTTCTCGGCAAGTCTGCAGTTCAAGCCCATGGTGATCTATACAAAGTAATAGTGAATAAATCCCCATCAATTCAAACAGTAAGGAAATGGATCAGGGTGGTTTAAGGTGGGAGTTCTCTGACAAGAAAGATGCAGCGCACACAGAAAACACGGGGAGAGAAATGTGATGCACATTATTTTTTTTCCAAATGAGTGGCACCCCCAAGGGTCATTTCCGTTAGAGATTGGTTGTCAGCACCCTCCAACGTCGATCGCGCATTTCCCAGTCACAGCATATTTATGCATTAGTCCAAAAAGGAAGAGAAGCACGTCATTCTCAAAAAGACCCACGATGTATACAGTATGGTACTCACATTCATGCTAAAGAAAAAGGACACACATGTCCGAATAAACACGGGAGCTTGAACGGCCACGTGTCCCAGTAGATGCAGCCCTCGCGTGTCACGTTGAAATCATACGTGACAGTATTTTACTTTCTTTGTTTTAGTTTTTGGTGGCTTTCTTTATTCTCGATTCTCATTTATTTGCACATGTTTCCATGCTCGCTTTATACAGGCTTTTAGCTGTTTCTTTGCTCTTTCGCTATTAAACATCAAATGCTGTACACCTTGAAAAAGTTCAGCTTTTCCTCATTACAATGGTGTAAGTTGTTTGTACAGTAGAGTCCACGAAGTTCAAACACGAAAATCACAAATTCTCTGGTATCTCGAACATAATGCTTGGTCCTGTTTCAGTCCCTATGTTTTCTTTGTGTTGACTCTCAACGCCTTAAAAGTATTATCCAATCTTGAATGGGGAGGAGATACTGAAATACTTCTTCAACTTTACCGTTCCCTTGTCCGTTCCAGGCTGGACTATGCTAGTCCCGTTTACGGATCAGCCAGAAAGTGTTACCTTAAAATTTTGGACCCTGTTCAGAACCAAGGCCTTCGCCTTGCCCTAGGCGCTTTTCATACTTCACCTGTAGAAAGTTTACAGGCAGAAGCTCATGAACCATCTTTAGAACTTAGAAGGAAAAAACTCTTTGCAGTATGCTTTGAAACTTACTCAGTACCCCAAAACCCAGCCCACAAATGTGTCTTTGGCCTTCCCGAAGATCTAAAAACTTTATCCTCCTTAGGAAATAAAGTAACCCCTTTCGGAATAAGAATCCAGAACGATCTCAAAGACATTGATTTTTCTGAAGACATAATCGAGCCCTTTGCCATATCCAGCATACCTCCATGGCATTTAACCAAACCAAACATAGATACTAGTCTTGAAAAACACAACAAAAAGTCTACAGACAAAACTACATACCTGAACTCATACAAACAGCTAATGAATAGATACCCTGAAGCAGAGAAACTCTTTACAGACGGATCCAAAAATGACTCCTCAGTTGGAGCTGCTGCCCTTGCATCGCCACACAGCTTAAGCTTAAGGAAACTCCACCCAGAAGCTTCAGTCTACACTGCTGAGGCTACAGCTCTTGAAATGGCCCTAAATATTATCGATCGAGTCTGAAATCTTTAGAGCGCTCTGACACCTCCGACAACAGAATTTTAAAACTTATAATTAAACTGCATTTTCTACATCAGTCTGGAAAAACTATTACAATAGCTTGTCTTCCAAGCCATGTAGGCATTGATGGCAACGAAGCCATTGACCAATTTGCCAAAGAATCTCTAAAACTACCTGAAAACAAAAATAGTAAAATCCCTTTCTCTGACATGAAACCGAAAGTAAAAGAACACATCACATCCTCCTGGTCCCAAATTTGGAATCAACAAATACACAACAAACTCCATTACATTCAACCGAAACTTACGACCAGGAAACCACGATTTCTCCCACGAAGAGAAAAAGTGATTTTTACCCGACTAAAGATAGGACACACGCACGTCACGTCATATTTTAAATGTAAAGATATTAAGACCCTTTTTGACATCATAGAGCCTAGAAAAATTTTAAGTTATTATATATAAAAGAAATTGGACTGTTTAATAGAATATGAAAATATATCGTTATCGGTGTATATATACATACACTGAAATTTATATTGTATATACAAATGTAAATAAGCCTTTTCCTTATTTACCCAAAATATTTTGTAAATGTTTGTTCATCTTTTAGCATAATGAAAATAGTGTGATCGTGTGCGGTTGCGAGCTCCGAAAGACTTACTAAAAACACGTCTGATTTTGTAGGGTTGAAACCTGTTGTCGCTTAAATGACCAAAATTGTGTCGATAGTGCCGTAAAACATCTACCCAATCATCAATCGAATTCACGCAGTTCCCGAACACTCGGAACGTGCAACACTTCAATCTCGAGCAAATTCACTTGGCATTCTCTACTAAAGACCCAACTTTCTGGCCGCGGGTAGGTGTTTCTTGGTTTTTGTTACAGTCAATATGTGGTTCTTGTCTCACCACAAGAGGCTGGAGGAAGGGGGGTTGGGGAGTGATGCTGACCCCACCGCATGACTGGCTCGCCACGCGTGCAATCATGTTGTGGGACGCGCTCGGTGCGAATGGCAAGAAGCGTAACTTTCTGTAAGCCAATGAAATGAGAGGGGGAAAATGACGTGGGAGTTCGCTGTGCACAAGTGAAATTTTCTGCTTTCCACTTTCATCAATCTTCTTGCTTTCACACCGTCAACACGTTCATCAAGGAAGCTAACCATATTGTTTTAATATTCTTTTTTAACCTCTCTTGATTTTCTCTCTTTCTTTGTATTTGAGGCTTTCACGGAAATGATGGGGCTTGGGTAGTTGCGGGTGCTCTGGTGTGGTTTGCTCCTTTTCTATCAAATATCTATCGTCCTTATCTCTCCCCCTTTTTTTGTGTTTGTTACTCTCTTGTTACTTGTAACACCTCTAATTTTCTGCTCATATATGACCTTATTGTGTTAAAAGTGACGTAAAACTCTTACTAAAACTAAAAGGACATGATGAATTACGGAAATTTTGAACACTATTCCCAATCCCCGACGAATTCGAGTTACGCATGTTTGACTGTATATATACCTATCCAAGTATTTGGAGCTGGAGAATCGTCACGGAAAGCGAAGCCCCTCGCAGTGGAAATGGGTGATCGGCGTTTCAAAAATTTACACCCGTGCATGCGAATGCTTTGCGGAAAGAATGATGATTAAATACTGTCTTTTCTTTGGAGGAGAACTATAGAGCTTTGAACGGGCTTTCGTGTGGTATATATTGGCCTTTGGCGTTTTAATAGAAAGCCTTTAATAATGCAGTCATGTTTTCGAAGATCATTTTTAATTCGAAATATGTAAAATAACGCAGGGAGCACACAGTACACTACAGTATAGAGCTGACTCACTCGCCATAGGGGGCGATTCACCGCTGACCGGGTCGGCGCTCGGTGCTTTTGTTGAAATAAGTACAGATCATCATTTTTGAGGCAATGACATAATGATTGTAATGATCTCACCTTCTTGAAAAAAATATAAGTTTTTCGTCCCCAAGTTTGGTCATGGCACTGGTGATTTTCCTCCAGTCATTAGCATCACTGGCTTATATACTTTTAAAAAATAGTATCAACAGATACAGCATGAAGGGCGACTCATAGTGTTTGAATTACAGATATGGTTTTCAAAATGTTCCTCTCTACTTGCTCCGTTGTTGGGTATATCAATGTTATTTTTAAATTTCTGACTTTCTTTTTAATTTCAGTTCCAAAATCATCTATAAACGGTACTGATGCACCAGCAGTGAAGTTAAATCCAGGGGGCGGATTTTCAATTAGTCTGCCAGCTGCGACCACTGCAACCACTGTTGGCTCAGGAGGATTCAAGTTTGGCAACACAGCTGTTACCACCGCTTCTCTTTCCCATCCTTCTTCCAGTGGCTTTGTATTTGGCCAAACTTCAGCCCCGTCAAAGACTCCGATCAGCTCTAGCGAAAACGTCAGTGGTGGGTTCAAGATCGGGCTCAGTACTAGTAGTGCCTCTGAGGTTGGTGGCATTAGTGGTTCTTCATTGTCACAGGCTAAAACAGGAGGATTTGTGTTCGGTGCTGCCACCTCTGGTAGTTCAGCATCCTTAACGGACAGTAAAGTGTCACAAGGTTTTCAGTTTGGCACTTCAGGGGGTGATGTCAGCAGCACACCACTTAGTGGTAGGAGCATTTCCACCCCTGAGACCTCTTCACAAACTTCTACTGCCACTTTAAGAAATGGTGATGAAAGTACGAGCGTTAAAGAATCAAACAGTGCTGCCTCCACAGTACAAGTGGGGTTTCAGTTTGGGAGTAGTTTCAGTTCAAGAGTGGACAAATCCCAGAGTCAAAAGCTTGAGGATTCCAGCAAAGGAGGTTCAGGTTCTTGTCCTGAGCAGCAACAGAAGCTTGGCTTCGGCTTCTCATCTTTGACTTCATCATCATCGCTAGCTCCTTCGTCAAATCCTCCTTCAAACTCCTTTTCACCTCAATCACCATCTATGAACATAAACCCTGCAGATCCACCAACTGCCAAGCCAGCTCCAGGCTTATTCAGCTTTGGTGCCACTACACCTGGTGCTTCTGCAGCTAATACAAACACAGGGCTAGGCATGGGGAGAAGCTTCAGTGACCTTTCTAATTCGACCCCCATTGTGAATGGAAGATTTGGATCAGGCCTGGATGTGCAGTCTCCAAAAGACAAAACTACTCAGGGTGGACTGAAACCTTCTGAAGGTGAGGTCTTTTTAAGGTCAAAATATAAAGACACAGTGTTGTGAGAGTTGTTGAGGTGGTAGGTTCTACGTCTAAGTTAATTTTTCAGGGTTCCTACTTGATGGGAGGCCAACTTGAGTAGCAAAATGTTTTTTGTATTTTTATATTCAGGATGTACCGAAAGGACTAGTTCATTTTTAAAGGTGCTTCTCTTCTAGAAATGCAGATCATAAATGTGTTGTTTCCGTTTTTTTCATAAGAAGAAGGTTTATTATTCTTAGCTTTTTGACTTATGTTTAACCTCATATTAATTATGTTTAGGAACTGTCATTTTGCTTGCAGAGGCAACTTGGCAAATTTTCATAAAATCCCAGTGGCATCGCTGCACAGAGGGAAGAGGAGTCTGATCACACAAAACTTAAAAGCCAAAGACATAATGTCTGTCTATGCCTATGCTTCATATGATGTATTCTCGGAGACCTACTGATCAGTCAGTGCTGATATGTTTTCTATGGAACTTCTGATGAAGCAGTAAAAATTATGAAGTCTTATAATTGTTGTGGGAACATTATTAAGAAAGGTCTAGTATCTTGGGATCAGGTCGTTCTTGTGAATATATTACACCAGCTATTAGTTTCTCAACCAGACCTAAGACTGTTTTCACTCACACATCACAGATTAAGATGATGGAAAATCTTTCTTCAGTGGATCAGTAACAGTGATGGTAATTACACTTAATGAAACATTTTTTTTTTTTTTTGGATTAAAGTTGCTCACAGGTTCAAGCGAACCAGAATTTCCAAGTAATTTCCCTGAGAACCCAACTGTGGGTAGAGTAAAAAGAAAAATGGTGTCGTAGTGTGAGTGTTCATTATGAATCTCGATGACAAACACTGGATTACCCCCAATTTCTCGCCTGTTTTGGTGGAAAAACCTTTGTGCCAATGGCTTTAGGCCATAATTTTGTGCTTTAATCAGATAGGATAGGCACAGCTAAAAGTTAAAAAAATAATTTTAAAAAACATGACATATTTAGAAATAGTACTTTTTACCAAAGGCATATATGCAGTTGTTGGCATTTCAGTGTCGGTAAACAAAAATGCTTTATATAAATGCGGTATTTAGTTATTATCAATGGAGATGGGAAGGAAAAAATTGGGCGGTCTTTGGGTATTTTTTTCTTCAGTTTTTGTGTCCGCAAAGTGAAAATAGGGGTGGTGTCGGTAGCCTAGTGGTGAGGCTGCCAGACCCATAATTGTGAGATTGCGGATTCAGGGGTTCGAACCTCTGCTTGGTCTGACCTTGTGTCCTTGGGAAAGACACTTCACATGATGAATTTCCTCATTTGGCTGTCCTTTCGGAGCTGGACGTAAACTTGGGAGGTCCTGCCTCTTAAATAACCTTTTCACTATTTTGAAAAGGGGACAAGTTTTGTTGTTACGGAAAGGCAAAAAGTCAGAGAGATGAATGATTTTCGGCCACCACATGAAGCCAGAATGGATAATCATTTTGGATATTACACCTTATCCAGCCTTTTCTTCTATTTATTTACTTGATTTATTTTCTGTTAGTAAGCTGCAAACACATTTGGTCAAAGAAAATCTATTTACCGATGTCTGTTATGTAGCAGTTTGGTGCTTCGCTGTTTGCAGGATACGCGTGTTCGATTGAAGAGTGGAGAAATTTTTATTTAGTATCTTTGTCTTCCTGTTGTAGGATGATGTCCCTCTCAGCCCAGGTTGGCCCTGACAGGCGGGGGCGGAAGCCGCCTCCTAAATAGTGTAAATTGTGTCTAGGAGGGCATAACAAAAAAAAATTTAATGTAAAAGGAAATTGTTGCGGTTATCACTGTAGATTGTTGACTTTTTAAGAAAATATTTGTGACCCAAATAGAATAATGCTTATATTTGGCTCCCCAGACTCTTTGTATTTTGGTGTAGACATACACTTGTATGGATAAATTTTAATCTCTTTATCGAGTTGCTAATTTATTTATTTATTTTTTTTTTTTAAAAATTTGAGGTTGTGTGTCAATGTACCAATTTCAGTTTTTTCTTCTGTTATTCTACTAAACAGCCAAAGACAAAGTTTTGTCTGCTTCATATGATGTACACTCGGAGACCTACTGATCAGTCAGTGCTGATAAGTTTTCTAAGGAACCTCTGATGAAGCATTTGAAATTGAAGTGGTCTTTTCAAAAATGCAAGAGATAGTGGGTTTTCAATTCTTGTGTTCGTTCACTAATTTTTTGCTCTAAATAGGATTTGATGTTGGTGCACCAGCAGCAGTATTTGGCGGTTTTGGTCAGCCAGCAGTCACTGCTCCAAGTTCTACCACCAGTCTATCTCAGACACTGTCTTCTTACAAGAGATCTGTAGATTTCTCAGGTTTGTCATAGGATTATCTCATCATTGCATTTATACGTCTTATCTCTAAATTGCTCTTTACCATAAAAATCAAACTAAAATGTTTGATGGTTTTTCGGAGTTTAAGTTTTGATATTTTAATCAAATTTACCAAATACAATGCTTCCACAGTGTGTGTATAAAAAAAAACCTCACACCTGCTCAAACAGCGATATCCCATTTCCTCCTTTGTGTACTATTCTTACATTTTACAATGACTGTATAAGACGGCCACTTTACTCCTCAACAATGGATGGCTGTCTTTGTTTCAAGTTAACTCGCTGAAGACTGGGGTCTCGCGAGGTGCACAACCCTTGAAGACTGAGGTTTTTTGGGGTATTTTAAAAAATCATTACTTCACTCAGTATTGTTCAATTGGTCTGATCTTTTCACATAAGTAAGAGACATTTGTGTGAGGTTTAGGTGTTGGCCTCTCATTCAAAGGTCCCGGGTTCGATTCCGGGTAGCGACCAAAAAATTTTCTTCTCTAAAATTGTCTCCTTTCACATCCTTTCCTGATCTCTATCAATGTTCTGTTGTCTGCTTTCATTTCCACTTTCTGCCCCCATCCCCTCACCTCCTTTGCCCCCTCCTCTGGGCTCCTGACTCTTTCTGCAGCCTTTCTACTGCTACTCCTTGGCTCCTCCTAACTGCTGTCTTTCTGCCACACCCCTGATCTTCTGGTAGGAAAGATCTACGCCTAGCCTTCTCGGACAAGGGCGAAAAATCTCGGAGGGCCCGTGTGCAAGTTGCGCACGTTAAAGATCCCTTGGTGGTCTAAAATTGATAAAAGTAGGCTTTGGCCGCCACCCGGGCAAAATTCAAAACTTCCTACCAACAAAAAAGTATTAGGTGTGTCCCGCGCGCTCATATGACCTTATGCAGTTGCGAGCGCCGTAAAATCCTATACTAAACAAACAAACAAACAAACTATCCAAAGGCCAAAACTAATAACCTCGGGAAACTACGCTCAAAGCGGTATAGTTCTACGCCAATGAAAAGAAGGTAATTAATCATCAATCTTTCTGCAAAGCATTCGAATGCATGGGTGTCAATTTTGAACCAGGGGACCTTTCATTCTGACTGCGAGGGGCTTCCCTTTCCACGGCTTTTCTCCAGTTCCAAATACTCGGGATATACAAACAACTTAAACTATTGTAACGAAGAAAATTGGAACTTTTTCAAAGTGTTCAGCATTTGGTGTTTTATAGGAAAAGAGCAAAGAGAGAACAGAGATCTGAATTACCCCCATTTTACTGAAACCATGCGCTCGGAAGGCCGCGGGTCTGCGTACATGCCATGTTTATGCTACCTAATTATACGTTTGCAATTGCACCATTAACACACGAGAGCACACACACACACATACAAACACACCAACACTCATACACACACATGCACATAGACCGCCTCGGTGACCTCTTGGTAAGGAGCCAGCTTTGAGAAATCAAGAGATAGGTTAAATAATCTTTTAGAAGCACTAAAACACAATGAAAACGAAGTCAATCCATGTGTAAAACTGAAAAATCAACAGACGATAACAACCAACAAGGCACGCCTACACAGTCAGCTGTGTACGTAAACAAACTTGAAGTGAGCTAGAAGTTACCGTTTTTACTCTTGTTTTACCTATCAGAGTTGTTTACATATCAGACCATTCATGCCCGAAAAGGGGTCAAAATCCAAAAATGAATTGCGAATGAAGAACGTTGAAGCAAAGGTGGTCATGAGGTAATGGTTCTAAAAATAAATGATCTCACACCTACAAACTAGTGAGGTCCAAATTTTATCTCATCACCCAAGCTTACAACAAACCACACACACCTCCAAAATAAATAAAAATAAAATATTTATAATCATTAGAGTTGCTTATTTGTATCTTCAATGAAGCAGAAGACATCAAACTTTCAATAGATCAAACAAAAAAAACCCCCAAAAAATTTTCATGGAAAGTCACTTTTTTGCCTTTCGAGCCTTGTAGCTGATAATAGCACCCTGCGTCTTACGGCTGATATTGACCGGGGGGAGACAGATATGGGTAATGGAATAAGTTAATATCATGAATATAGGTAAAACATATATGCTTCTAATCTTCCGTACTTTTCTTGAAAATCTGATCCAGAAATAAAATGAGAATTGGATCCTGGTGCTGAGGTATGGCTTTCCCTCACCAACACGCCACTTTGGCCCTGGATTTGGTCTAGACGGGCGGGTGCAGTGGCCTACTGCACTCAACCGGTTATGACCGGTTCATTGAAGTGGTTTTTTGGCCAATCTTGGTTGGAAGACTGGATTTTTTGCCATCCGATTGGGAGTATACCTCCAGGGCTGCCCTGACACCAGCTATGGAATTCCGACCGGTGTCCCCTTGTTGGACTTGGTGGCGGGTGGGGAGGCCTGGAGATGAACAAGCACAAAAACACATGGACCTAAAAACAAACATTTCTCCCACCCCAATTCCCTACTAGTCCCAGACAGGAGAAGTAGGTGAAACTCCTGGCTTGTTTAAAATTAAAGGGCCTTTCGGGCGACGATGCTACAGCGTCTGGGACATGCCAAAGAGAACGTCCATGGGGTGGTCACCATTTCTGCTTGATCTCCCCAAAAGATGAAAAGCAGGATCTAGCAGCACTAGGCGTCTTCAAAATTCACAAAACACTAAAAACATTCGGAATTCTGAAACCAAAGTACCTTAACCCTAACTCTGGCAAATGGTTTCAACAGGAATGGCAGGGCCAGTCAGCCAAAACGTGCACATGCTTTACAAATCAAATTTATGGACTTGCATCAAATAAAAACCCTACAAAAGTATATATTTTTTGAAAGATAATTGAATGAACTTTTATATTTTACCATTGAACATATGATTTGATTTTATTTTCAAGGGGTTATGTAACTTTGAAATCCAAGATGGCTGACATAAAAAATTTACATGCTCATTAGCATATTCACCAATCTAATGTATTCCTTGTTATAAAAAATGTGAGATAGCAGAAATATGGGTTTTTCAATTACCTTTCAGAAAATGTATAGTTTTATAGGTTTGAGAAGAACAGGTAATGAGTTATGACTGTTTCAATTTGTCATGTGGTCTGTTTCGAACGCAGCTGATACTCGCTAATTTTATACCAAACTCAACATAAAAACACTCTAAGTACAACCATGTGGTTTTCAGCAATCTGCTGGTAGTCTGTAATAATTAGTATAGCAAAAGGAACCTACTTTACTCTATAGCTCTCCTTTTTCTGCCCCTATTAGACTCCCAAAGTAGTAGAATCTAGTGTTCCATTTGAAAGAGAAGTCGGGGCAGGATGAGAACTGGTAATGTATCCCCATTGTCTGTCAGATCTAATCCCAATCTTGACTGAACACCAATAAATCCACCACTAACAGTGTCTGAATTACTTTCCCTAGTCAATTCACTTTCAAATGTATCCAAAAAAGATCGATTTTTGGCCATTTTAGACCCACACAAGTGATAGATCTACATTGGCATTAGTGGCTTGTGACCTGATCAACAAGCTTTCAAAACATCCCTCTGTTTTGAAAGCAAAATACTCTTCTCCTAAGCCAGAATGGTAGAAATATTCTGATTGGTTGTAGGTTAGCCTTTTAGCCAATCAGAAATCACTTTAGGAAGCCCCAAATATTTAGTTGGAAGGCAGAAGCAGCAGTTTACTATATGGTCCTATGAGATCGGCCCTGCCAGTTTCATGGCAGGAAATGGGCCGATTTAATCGGCCCTTGCCAGAGTTAGGGTTAAAAAACTGGGATCCGCGGATCTCCTTATACAGGTCAGTTCCAGCACAGTTGGCCTGCCTCGTTTGGTGGCATCCCTGTTTGTGTTCAAACTCACAGAAGTCTGAACACATCCGAGTCTGCTTGGTTGCTAAAGTATTATTCTTATGCATCATGTTTTGAGTTAATGTTATTTTACTTTGTCATCCAGATTCTGATGCTTCAAGTGCAAAGTGCTTATTTGGAGTTGGCTCTGCAAACAACGAGGCGGCTACGAATGGACTGTTTTCCTATGGAAGTATGAAATTGTTGTTTCTCCTTGGGGTGGGGGGCGGGCGTGCGGGGGCGCATTCCTATTGTCGGCTAGTGGTGGGCGGTTTCAGTGAGTTTTGGTCCGGTACTTGGCACTGGCTGTCGAGTACAGCCAGTAGTGGTACTGGGACTGAAAATAAGATGACATCGGAAGCTCTGCGTTTCTGGTGTTTCGGCTGCTGTATTTATTTATTGTGTTCCGTCGTCTGCTTCCGTCTCAACTTTCTGCCCCCTTTGCCTAGCAATGCCAATCGCTTGCTGCGCCCTTGGGCCGGAAATCGGGCTCCGCGCGAGGGGTAATTTTTGGGCCGCTCGGGATCAGAGGTGGCTCTCTTTTAAATTTAGTTACGGGAAAACTCGTGGACGAAAATAAATGAAACTCAGCAACCAATCAAAGGAAAGGTTAAACTAACGACATGCTAGTGTACAATCCGGAACGATTTCTAGAACCGGTGAAATAGCCGTTTTGTGCGATTTTCCGCTGCGGTTTGATCCCCGACCATACAGGCGCCCCACACGTCCTCTTTATTGCTGTAAAATTTCAGATCTCTGTACATTTTACGCACCAACTAAAAATTACCACCCATCCATCGATAAAACACAAGAACTGGAAACTAGATCACGGATTCCAAGTGTGAGAGGCGCGTGATCGCTAGGCGGCATGTGATTGACTGCCTCTAACCAAATAGGTCACCAATGACTTCATTGCAGGGGTGATTGCATCATAGTAAAAACGATGTCACGCAATTCAACAAATTTCACGCAAATATTCGTTTTTAAGATTCAAAGTAATAAAGACATCGAAAAGCGATTCTGCACTAAAAAATCACATGAAGAAGCAAAGTTGTCATTCATATACGCCAATTTAATACTGACTTGTGAACAGTTTTTCCTCACAATACATCAAACAAAAATCCCAATAACATTTTTATTTATCAATGGATTAAAAAAATTTAAGAACCATAGTTCTTAAAATTTTCTGTATTTTCATTTAAGCCCATTATGATTTTAAAGCAATTTGGATGAACATTTTAGCAAGAACCATGAAAAAAAAATTTTTTTGCTCTAAAGCCAACAAAACAATGTGCATATGATAGCCTTATCTCTGAGTAACACAGTTTTTGAATTTTGACAATTCGTTCAGAAATTAAAAAGTTATGATTTTTTTAATGAATTTTTTTTGGGTGACTCGTGTAAGAAAAAATCCCAAAACACGGTCCACACTTTTGGGTGTTTTGAGGCTTTTTTCCCCAAAAAATTCCGTAATAAACGGAATACATGAATGAAACTTGGCAGCCTATTGTAGTTTTTCCTGCAGAACCTGTATCTATAAAGATATTTGATGTATCTTCAGTAGTTTTAAAATATTAGGGGAAATGTGTAAAAAAAATTCATAGAAATTTTAGGCCAAGGACTTGCGGCCAACATTCAAACTCCTGCAACTTTCTTTTTTTTATATATATATATCTACGAAACTTGGCTATCTTTTGTATTTTTTCTGCAGATTCCAAATCTGCTGTTATTTTTTTTGTATGAAAGGCTCTTTTATCACTGAACGAAAATGTTGAAAAGGTACCCTGGGTATGTTACTAAAATGGGATATCCATTAACTTTTCTTGCAATATTTTTGTGTATACATGTAATTGTATAACATAACATACCAGGTGTGCTCTGTGTACAGGCACCAAAAACAGATAGTGAATGAAAGCAAACAAACATCTGAAATGGAACAGAAGATAAGAGAAAGTGTACTGACCATGTTGGGTTCATTTGAATTTTTAAAATTTTGCTTGAACCTCCTTAGCATTTGAAATACACCAGATGCGCCAAGTTTCGCTTTCATCCATTGAGAAACAAGCCCGAACGAGTGAATGAAAATAGGGCACTGTGAGAAAACGGGTCCGGTAAAACAAGCCCGCAGCGCCTATACGGGAGTCCCCGATTTCGGTCACACTCATCGGCGCTGCGTGGGCCTTGATTTAATTTTTCAGAGTTATTGCTACTTTGCCCTTCCTCCGGCTGGCCCGTTACGAGGGCTGCATTCTGCCGCAGGCAGACAGGTAGGAAGTAGCCTCGTGTGGCTTCATCTAGAGTACATCCGGGCAAGGTTTCGCTTTGTTCTTTGCCATTTCCTCTGGGCTCTTGACTCTATCTACTGCTACTCCTTGGCTCGTTCTTGCTGCCACATTTTAGGGTAGGTTGTTGTTGTTATCGATCCAGCAACAGCTGGGCTCTCGCCCTTAATTTTAGGGTTAGTAAAATCTAACACCTAGACTTCTCGGATAAGGGCGAACAATCTCGAAGCTCACGTGTGCAAGTTGCGACGTTCGGGATTGAGGGCTACCTAAATCTACCGTTTTTCCCCCGGTAGTTACAGTTACCAATTTTGGGCCTGTTCTTCCGCCATACCGATAAAGGTGTCAAAACTACCAGATTTGTGAAAGGAGAAGGTAAAAAACCCTGTTCTGCAGTGCTCCCAGTCTTCCCTGTTTTTACAAAAATCTGTACTTTCCAAAAGTTCAGTGCTTATCGCATCCTCATATCAACTCCATGCATTAGACGGAGAGTATTAGCTTATCGGCATTCCGTAGCAAAGGATCAGTGCTAATCAAAGACATATTGAAAGTTCATTTCTCGGTTTACTTTAATATAATATTTTTAAGTCATCAGAGGCGTTATTTTTTAATTTGACAAAACAGATTGGCAGTAAATAAAAACTCCAATAGTCACTACTTAATGGGAGAAATAATTCACCGTACTATACTGCAGCAGAGACTGCCTTGTTAGAAGCTATTCTTTTCCTTATATGCGTTCTCTCTTCCCCCCCCCCCCCAGATAATTTTGTGAAGAAATTTTTTGGTGAATTTTTAAGAAACATGATATTAAAGAATAAATTACCGTCTAGGATTTTAGGGCATGTATCAGGTACAATCGCCAAGTGCTAAATGGTTAATCAGTTGTACACTTTTTTTTTCAGCATCAAGTGCAACTGCATTTGGCTCGGTTACAACCCCAAGTGGCCGCAGTTCTTCAGGAGGCTTTTCAGGTTTTGGTGTGTCCACCGCAGCCACGAATCTGACTGGTCTTTCTTCTCCAGGTGGAGGCTTTCAGATGGGTGCAGCAACAGGGTTTGGCCAGTCACCAGCCAGTTCTGTAACCCCAGCTGTGTCAGTCCCTACGTTTGGTTTCTCTGACAAGGCTCCTGATGCTAGTTCTGGCCCAGCAGGTAGCTAAGATAAAGGCTATCCATATCTGTTTATTAGACATATGTCTGACATTTTTTCCGCCCTCTGCATTTTTTTAGCAAATACCCATGCCATCATTATGTTTGGGTAAAAAAAGTTGTTCCCGCATCCGATCTGGACATTGGGGATTGCCGTGTTAGTGAGACAACTTCCTGGGCCTGCGACATATTGTGGCAGTGTGACCAGTTCCTTTCCACGCCGCCTTTACTTCCCCAACTCGAAGTCAGGTACCCATTACTCCTGGGTTCGCAGGAGGGGTAAAAAAATATCCTGTCTGAACTGAGGCTCAAACCCGGACTTTCCGCTTCGGAGACGAGCGCAGTTATTGTGGAAATCTCAATTTCAAGCTTGAGTTTATATTTTTTAATAGGCATTTACCATCTTGGAATGACTTAGCGCTAAGCCATTTTTACCATTACTTCCCTTCAGTGGTGGGTTTATTTTAGAAAAATGCCAATTTTCAACGTGGTTATAAAAAAAGCTCATATCTTTCTTATTTATCATAATTTCTAATTACAGTAAGAAGGAAAAAATGTGTCTTAAATAATTAACTACCCTTATGTGTTGTTTTTTTTAATGTTGTTGTTGGTATCAAAATCATCATTTTTAGTCCAGTCTGCTTGGAGATCAGGAAAATCGACATCCCCTTCTATGCTGAACCTCGCTTGATCTACAACACAATATCCCCATCATTCACACATATAAATCTTTTATTTGAGGACCTAAGCCTTCAAACTCTTTAACACTGTCTCCCGATTCAAGAGAAATGTTGGGTAAATCTGTGTCTAAATCAGTTGATGAATCAAGAAAATTGCTGATAAAAAACTCCAAACCGATCCTTGACTCCGAAATGCGCTGCCAGTGGCACTAATAAATGTTTCACTGGTGGACTGCGGTCACCAGCAGTTTAAAAAATGGCGGGGGGGGGGACCTGAAACATGTCCAAATCAGAAAGAAAAATCCGCTCCCTTCAGGGTGTTTTACCTAAGACGGAATATGCTTTGCCCTCACAGCCCTGATTTATGTGAGGAAATATTGGTAACTTGTGGAAATATTCAAATTTTTTATAAAATGTACCCCTGAATCCAGGGACTTTGGGCTCACTTTTTTAGTTTTAAAGATAGGTCAATATCCTCACATGGATCCCCAGTCCATTTAGGTTTGCATTTGTGTGCCAAATTTCAGGCTGATAATTCAATATTTACTGTGAAATTCTTCTGCACTAAGAAATGGGTTTGAAAACCCAAGATGGCTGCCATAGAGAACCATTTTTCAGAAAAAAATCAACAAATTCACCCTTAGTACACCCTATTTACGTATGAACTACTTGCACAATTACATAAAAGTCATTCGTCTAGAAAAATTTTCTCGTGAGTGTAGTCTCCCCATAACACACACACACACACACACACACACACACACACACACACACACACCCGCGCAGGGCAGTGCCACTGACTAGTGTCTTTGGGCCATTCCCAAAGGGGGGACATTTCTCGTTAATGCACAGCAGAATTGTAAATGGGCTGATTCATCATGTCACGCTCATAACTGTGCCTGATCTGCAACGGGTCACTGCTGCTTTTTCTTTCCTAATCCTTAGTATTGTCATTTTCCTCTACTCTTTTTGTCTGTTTGTCACTCTTGTGACTAGCTATTTCAGGGGTGCCTTGATTGTCGAAGTAGACTTTGTGCTGTTGAAGCTAGAGATGTGAGGAGAGTAAGTCTGATTCCCTGTAAGGACTTCTCTTTTGACATCCTTCCCTTGGCGCTCATATGACCGTATGCATTTGCAAACGCTGTAAAACCTACTAAAACTAAAACCCTCCTCCCTCTCCAACCCACATACACAAACACCGGTGACGGCGTCCGCGCTCTCTCTCACATAATTATATGCATGCACAAAGTTTAAAAATATATAATTACCTTTTACCACGGAAAGCAAACCCCACTCAGTGGTAACTATGTGTACCAGGGTTACGTTCATCTTGTTTTTCCTTCTTTGTAGGTACCACAAACCCAGATTTCAAAGTGCTTTGATCAGACTTATGTTTGTTGCATCATAAAGAACTATGCAAACCATGAACTTTGGTGTTTGAATTATAGAAATCGGACAATAAATTTAAAAAATGACAGGCGTTTGAAATTTGTGGACGGCGTAAATTTTTGGCAACTTTAACAATCACGTTAAAAAGTGCGATTTTGTGAGTTCACAGAAAATATATTCAGGTAGGCCTACATAAAGTGTGTATTATCATTTGTTTCAGCAGGTGCCAGTATAAACTATGCATAGACCTGCATGTTTGCCGACAATCGTCTGAAATCCGACAATCGCGACCCGACCCGCGAACCGGCCGATGCTATGGCAAGGCCCGCCTGTATCTGTCAATGTGCGTAGTGCGAGGCTTGGCCGACTGCCAGCGACCCATTTTTCTCCCGTCGGCTTCGTCGGTCGGCGTTTTCGTGCCGACCGCCGACGCGCGCACCGCCGACTGCCGACGTCGGCGTTTCCGACATAATTGTCGGAACCTGAGTAGAAATGCGAATACGAAAAAGGACGACAACCTAATTATCTACTTTCAGTTTCGTGCTCGAGCGGCCATTTTGAATTTCGTTTGTTGACTAATTCAATTGTTCAGATCGTGTGGATTCATTCAAGTCTGACTCTCTAGTTCTAATAGAATCTAGATCTAGATCTAGATTTATATAGATCATTATAGACCTCAATGAGGGATTCATATTCCAATTCTATTTTGTCAAACCCTATCATAGGTTGTGCTGTAATATTAATATTGGTGAAAATAAGCATTACATCAGGTGCGTGAATTATTTATTTATTTAGATCTAGAAGAATCTAGATCTAGATATATCTAGATCTAGAATCTAGACTCAGCTGAGTCCCTCTGTTCGGAATCGGATGCGGATTTCTAGTTAAAGACCTATTCCTATTCACTTGTTCTACAAGATCTGGATCTAGATCTAGATCTAGATTTATTTAGATTACTAGATCTATATGGAGGATTCATATTCCAATTCTATTACTATTGTGTTATTGTATCAAACCCTATAGCAATGTAGATGTAAGCCATATAGATCTAGAATCTAGATCTAGATTATATGCTCCTTGTTTGTTTTGGAGTGTGGTTTTTTAATTTAATTTTTTTTTTCATTTAGGACTCGTTTTGGCCTTTTTACATGAGTCCCGTTGCAGGTTCTTTTTGGGGGAAGGGTAAGGGTTAGGTCTCTTCTTTATTGTGTTTGTTGGGGTGGTCGCTCGTTACTCGGATGTCCTTCCTTATGACACCCACAAAGGCGGGGGGGGGTTGCGCAAAATTTTCAGACAATCTGGTTGAGGCTCACATGCAGGTCTATATGCAAAATACCAAGATGAGGACAATCAGAGTTTAAATAAAGCCAATACAGAGACTTAAAATTGGAAAAAAATTACTCCTTGATGCATAATGTTAATTCAAAAATGCTAAAAAGACTGATTTCAGACATCAATAAAATGGAAAGTTATTGCTGAAAAGACATGAAACTTACAAAACATGTTCACAGTAGTGCAAATTCATAGCCCAATTTTTTTCAGAGTTCTGGCACTTCAATTTAATCAGTTATGGAACCACAAATATGGGAAAACTGCCAATTCTGCGTTATAAACAGAAAATCACAACACGGTACACATGGCCTAAACACTTTTCAGAATAAAATCACCTAAAATCAAGGTAAATGTCTGAAACTTTCCATGCCAATGTAGGCCTACTTTTGGACAAGGAATCCATTTCTGTTATAACATGAAGCATTACAATGATATGAGGTTAGATAAGAGAAAAAATAAGAAATTATTCTGCATAATTTCAACAAAATCATCTGTAACTTCTATAGAACAAGAAGAAAGACGCCCAAAAGCTCTATTTCTATGTGTTTTTGGGCCAGGAATCCATTTCTGCAATCAAATCTGAGATAAAATGAGGCATTAATAAAGTAAATATTCAACAATGACAGATCAGATACACAAACACACACAAAAACTCCTCAATTCTAATTCCTACTTTTTTTTTAATTGGAAAGAATCTCCAAACAATTTTTTTTCAAAAATATAAAAAATCGGGCAGAAGCTCCCGCCCGGGCAGAGTCCATTTTCAAATCAAACCAAGGCCAGGACAATTGGAGGGTGGAGGAGACACAAGTTAGATCTGCAACAAAGTTCAAATTCCCCATGGCTCATTAATCTAAAAAAAAAATTGGGTCTATTCAGGAATAGATCTAGCAGTTCTAAAGGTACCGACTTATATGATAATCACGTATTATTATGAATGAAGCTCTCGAGTAGGAGAGTCCATTTTCAGCAGTAAACCAGCCTCTAAAAGTTGTATGAAAAAAATAATTCAATTGGTGCCGGTACTTGTTTCATGAGTCTAAATATATATATTGGCTAAAAGAAAATAATTAAATGAATTAGTTATCAAAGACTTTGTCAGATATTCGCGATATTCAAGAGAATATTCATTGACATCAATGAACAAATGCCAGCTGCACCCCCTTCACAGACGAGTTCATCAAGCTTGTTATGATCTTTAAAAAGAGGTCACCATTACAGAATCATCGATAGAATGAAATGGTCACGTGACCAGAAAAAACACCAATTTTAATGACTAAAAACAAATTGATTTAGATTTCACCATATTTTCAAGAAATTTAAGCTTCCTATCTTTCTATCCAAACCAGATTTACAACAATACTGGGTACTGAATTAATTACAGAACGCTCTGAATGAAACCACCCGTTCGCATGTTTGCGATCTCTCGGCTTCAAGCCCTAGCTAGATCTAGGTCAGGCAAAGGTTGATGACTTTATGAAGAACTATGTAACACTATAACAATCTAATTAACAAAATCAACTTACCGCACATCTCCTGAATATCCCTATCCATGATTGGAAGCATAATGCAGCCCTTGATATGCACTTATGTACGTGAATA